ATGAGCACCACTGTGTGAGAGGCAAGCAAGAGACTGTATGAGGTAATGGGTATCAATCTATACATATAATTGCTGCAACATATCTGGCTGTGATCATATTATGAAGGAGATCGGCATGTCACGTCATGCAATCTGCAAAAGAAAGTGCTGATGAAGTCAGTGAGTATACAGGAAGTCAACATGTTAATGATTACCAACTTTCCTCTGCATGCTGGTCCCGCTAAAACGCCAATATGATCTAATAGACTGACCAAAAACGGGCTTACTTGAAGTATGTAGCTACCGTAGGCCGTATGTATGCCATCGTCCGCATAGCAGCTGTCAATGCGAAAAACGACTTCAAATTTTTGAACTCCTCATTCAGTCGAAATAACTGCTTTATCTGGCTGTTTCATTGTTCGAGCTCTGCTTAGCCTCGAAAAAGACGACAAAATAGGTTAACAGGCCCTTGCGAGAGCAGAGAGAAAAAACGAACGTTTGTCATCACTTAAATGCGGATATCCTTCACACTTTCGTGATTAGCGCCATCTGCGGCCCCTACTTTTTAATGAAACGTGTGGCTCTTTACATTCTTCTCTAAAACAACGCTGACCCTGAAAAGGACGAAGTTCTCGTCTAACTCTTAAGTCGCAGTTCAAGATATCCGACTATATATCTTACAGTAATCTCTGTCTCCTTGTCATCAGCCAGGGGTGCCGTATTCTTCCTTTTAACGCTATATCTACAGCTTCGTGATCACAACGGCTTGTAGTCATTTGTTTGCTTCCAGTGAAGTGGTGTACCGATTTACCGACTGTGTAAACCTCGAGCATCGGTCGAGACTAGCTGGTTTGTGAAGAAGTCCTTCAATTCTATTTCTAAGTCATTTATTATTAAGTTATTATTTGTTTCTAAGTAATACTGTACACCAGATCTGTTTAATTTTAAAACTGATCTGTTTGGTAGCGTACGTTGAATGACTTGTCTGTTGGTAATACGGTTACAAGTCAGTAACGATGACTGAGTGATTCATACGTCGCGAACCGTCTATCCAGCCGACACGAAAAATACAAGTCGATTGTTTAATCTGTGAGCTTATGCTATTTTTATATCATTCGCATTCTTTACAGATGAAGCGGTTTTGATCTGATGGCGTTCACTGTTATTCACGTCAATAAAATTGATTGATCGATTATTGGGTATCCTTGGATCGGAAGTTTCACTGATCAACAAGCGTAGCCTTTGATCATATTTTTCTATCATAAAAATGAGGTCTAGCAGAGATCATTCGATGAAAATTCTTGAGAATGATTGGTCTTCGTTCCAACGGTTCGGTTTAAATCTAAATTCAGTATAACAGTTAGATATATGCTTAATTTAGCCAGGGAACTACTCCGCTTTAAATTGCAATTAGGAAGATGGGTTTAAATGATACCTCAGGTTCTTGATTCTGGGCCTACAATTATATAGATGCGTGTTTGAACGATGCCTGGCTCAGGGCACCAGATATAACTAATGGTACAACAGTTTACTGCCTGACATAAAGCGTAGCATCATCAAGGCAAGGCTAAATACAAATGACTGCTTGTAGGCGCAATCACCCCCCGGTTTCACTAATAACCATGCAAGATGCGTATTCTTTGCACATCCGGTTTTTCGTTGTCAGTATATGCAAGGACTCCTTTATCACCAGACCTAATTTAGATTGGTCTTTGTTTATAGCAGACAGATTGTTATGAC